CTCAGCCTCGCAAAGTGCTGGGATTACAGGCGTGAGGCACTGTGCCCAGCCACATACAGGCTACTTGTTATGGAAAAGAAAGGATAGCTCAGAAAAAGGGAATAAAGACTTATAAAACAGACGAAAAAGTTCCAGAGAGTACTTTGCAACAAGCAGGACAGGGCCCTAATCAATTCATGTGCAACATATGCTTGGATGGGTTTCAGAATTAACATAAACCAATGACTGTTACATGTCTCCATTTTCCACACTTTAGAACAAGAGAATTTATACACATTATCCTATACCTATATCACTTTGTGTTGGGTTTATTTGGGGGAAGAGTGGCAGAAAATGTTTCTATTTATTTCACACATTTTCAGATCAAGAGGAACCATATTCAAGCAATCTAACTGAAGGAGCTTAATCTTCACCTGGACCTGATTTATATCATGAGACCCTGGACCTTGAGCATAAGCCTGGTGCTTTAATGAGATGAAACTTTGGGAGGAAAGAACTTGGAGGTGGAAGAATGTAAATAATTTGTGCACATGGGGTAAACTGGAAGTTTGAAACATGTCTGCAAATTTTTTGATATTCCTCCCATGGAGTGGTGGATTTATGTCTCTCCCTCTCAAACCTGGAGGGCCTGTCACTTCTTCAATCAACTGAAAATGGTGGTGGAAGTGACACCATGTGATTTCTGAAGATAGGTCAGAATAGTACATATAGCTTCCATCCTGTGTACAGGGAACACTGACTCTTGAAGCTCTGAACCACTAATGTTAGAAGTCACAACCCTGTGGAAGCCCAAGCCAAATGAAGAGGAACTCTGGTTAACAACCCAAAGTAAGCTCAAATTTCAACTTTGTTTTAGCCCAGACGCCAATAAAGAAATCTCTAGGTGATTTCAGCACCAGACATTCAATTCTTCCTAACTGAGGCTCCAGACACTGTAGCATGGAGACAAGTCATGCTTACATACCCTGTCTGAATTCTTGTCCCACAGAATCCATGAACATAATGAGATGGTTATTGTGTGACACAAAGTTTGAAGTTGTTTGTTGTTTGACAGTAATAACAGAAACACTGCTATATTAGTTTCCTGTGCCTGCTGTAACAAATTATCACAAACTTGATGGTTTAACACAACAGAAGTTTATTCTCTTATAGTTCTGGAGGCCAGAAGTTTACATTGTTATCACTGGGCCAAAATCAAGGTGTTAGCTGGGCCACACCCCCCTGGAGACTGTTGGGGAATACCCCTTCCTTGCTTCTTCCAGCTTCTAGTGGTTGCTGACATTGACTGTGTCAAAGCCAATATCTACAAATTTCTCTCTGTTCCTTGTTCACATTGCTTTCTCGTGTGTGTGTGCATGTCTGTGTGTGTGTGTGCACGTGTGTGTGTGTGCACACGTGCATAAGATGAGACAGGGTAGAGGGAATCTCTTCTGTTTCTCTCTCTCTCTCTTTTTTTGAGACGGAGTTTCGCTCTTGTTGCCCAAGCAGGAGTGCAATGGCGCGATCTCAGATCACTGCAACCTCCGCCTCCTGGGTTCAAGGGATTCTCCTACCTCAGCCTCCCAAGTAGCTGGGATAAGAGGCGCACACCACCACGCCCAGCTAATTTTTGTATTTTTAGTAGAAATGGGGTTTCACCACGTTGGCCAGGCTGGTCTGGAACTCCTGACCTCAGATGATCCACCCACCTTGGCCTCCCGAAGTGCTAGGATTACAGGCGTGAGCAGACTTCTGTTTGTCTCTTATTATGACATTTGCAATGGCATTTAGGGACCACATGAACAGTCCAGGATAACCTCTCCATCTCCATATCGTTTTTTTTGCCTAGACAGAGTCTTGCTCGGTCATCCAGGCTGGAGTGCAGTGGCACAATCGCAGCTCACTGCAACATCTTCCTCCAAGGCTCAAGCGATCCTTTCACTGCAGCCTCCCAGGTAGCTGGGACTACATGTGCCCACCACTATCCCTGGCTATGTTTTGTATTTTTTATGGAGACACAGTTTCACCGTCTTGCCCAGGATGGTCTCAAATTCTTGAGTTCAAGTGATCCACCTTCCTCGGCCTCCCAGAGTGCTGAGATTACAGGTGTGAGCCACCACACCTGGCCTCAAAATCCTTCATCATACCTGCAAAGACTCTTTTGAGCTGGATTTTGATTTTTTGTTTGCTTGCTTTTTTATTTTGTTTCTCATACAAAGTAATGTTCATAGGTTCTAGGAATTAGGACATGAATATCTTTTGGGGTGCCTTTTTCAGCCTGCTATCACTGCATAGTTGCAAAATATTACCCTGTATATCTCTTGTATCTTGCCTTTTTAAACGTATTAGCCAAAACAAGCATTCCCATGCCATTACATGCTCTGAAAACAGCAACTTTAATGGTTATGTAATATGCTATTGAATGAATGTAACATAAGTTAGTTGTCCAAAACCTTTTTTGTTGTTGTTGTTCTTTTAACTTTTATTTTAGGTTCAAGGGATACATGTTCAGGTTTGTTACCTGGGTAAATTACATGTTGCTGGGGTTTGGTGTACAAATGATGTCATCACCCAGGCAGCAGTGAGCATAGTACCCAATGGATGGTTTTGTTTTGTTTTGGAGACAGGGTCTCGCTCTGTCGCCCAGGCTAAAGTGATGATCTTGGCTTACTGCAGCTTCCATTTAAGCGATTTTCATGCCTCAGCCTCCTGGGTAGCTGGGATTACAAGTATACACCACCATACCTGGCTAATTTTTGTATTTTTAGTAGACATGGTGTTTCACCATGTTGGCCAGGCTGGTCTCAAACTCCTGACCTCAAGTGATCCACCTGCCTCGGCCTCCCAAAGTGCTGGGATTACAGGCGTGAGCCACCGAGCCCAGCCCCAATGAGTAGTTTTTGATCCTCATCTTTCTCCTACACTCCACCCTCAAGTAAGCCCTGATGTGTATTGTTCCACTCTTTGTAGCCATGTGCATTCAATGTTTAGCTTCCACTTATAAGTGAAAACATGCAGTATTTAATTTTCTTTTCCTGGTCTCTGGCTGTATCTGTATTGTTGCAAAGGACATGATTTCATTCTTTTTTATGGCTGTGTAGTATTCCATGGTGTATTTGTACCACATTTCCTTTATCCAGTCTACCATTGATGGACATTTAGGTTGATTCCATGTCTTTGCCATTGTGAATAGTGCTGCAGTAAACATATGTGTGTGCGTGTGTTTATGGGAGAATGATTTATATTCCTTTGGGTATATACCCAGTAATGGGATTGCTGAGTCAGGTGGTAGTTCTGTTTTAAGTTCTTTGAAAATCTCCAAACTGCTTTCCACAATGACTGAACTAAACATTCCCACCAGCAGTGTATAAACATTCTCTTTACTCCACAACCTCGCTACCTGTTATTTTACTTTTTAATAATAGCCATTCTGATTAGTGTGAGATGATATCTCACTGTGATCCAAAACCTTAATGTTGGACACTTATTTCCAACTCTCTACTTTTTTGTTATTTCCTGAGACTAGATTCTAGATATGGAACTTAGTGAGTGTGAGCAGTTTACGACTTGTGACTATATTGCCAGATTGCCATTTAGAAATAAATATTAATGTATTATTTTATTATTCCTGTGGGTGCCTGTTTCATCATATCCTTACCAGCATTGAGTACTGGATTTTTTAGTTTTGGTTATTATTTGCCCTTTTTTTTTTTTTTTTTTTTTTGAGACAGAGTCTCGCACTGTTGCCCAGGTTGGAGTGCAATGGTGTGATATCGGCTCACTGCAACCTCCATCTCCCAGGTTCATGTGATTCTCCTGCCTCAGCCTCCCAAGTAGCTGGGATTACAGGCGCACCCCACCACACCCAGCTCATTTTTTGTGTTTCACTATGTTGGCCAGACTGGTCTCGAACTCCTGACCTTGTGATCCACCCACCTCGGCCTCCCAAAGTGCTGGGATTACAGGCATGAGCCACCGCACCTGGCCTTGCCAATATGTCTTTAGAAGTCTATGTTTTCTTCTCATTTTGTATTGGATTCTTTATAGGTTAGCAATTTTTTGGCATTCTTGTAGCAAATGCTTTTTCATCATTTTGTTATTTGCTTTTAAATTGCAGATATGATGTCCTTAATTACTATCTACTGTTTCCTTTGTCACTTCTCACTCTACCTTTATACCTATAAAGTCTGCATTGTTTTTTTGTTTTTTTTTTTTTTTAGATAGAGTTTTGCTCTGTCACCGAGGCTGGAGTACAGTGGTGTGATCTCAGCTCACTGCAACCTCTGCCTCCCAAGTTTAAGCGATTCTCCTGCCTCAGCTCCCAAAGTGCTGGGATTACAAGAGTGAGCGGCCGCACCTGGCCCAAAGCCTGCACTATTCAGAGAGCAAACTCAATAATGCTTGAAATTGCACAGTGTTTGATGTCAGAAAGGCCTAAATTAGAATCTATCTCATAGAAATGAATGCTGGCTGTTTTAAAGCTTAAATAAAATAATTTAAGTTTAAAAATCAAGCATGAAGGCTGGGATATGCAAGTGCTCACTCCATTTCTTTTGGTTCTGTTTACTAGAAAAGAAAAATCATCGAAGACAAAATGCGAATGCCCAATAAACATGAAATGTGCTCAACCTGCTTAATAATTTCAGAATGAAAAATTAAATTGGTTACCATTTTCTGTCCATCAGATTGGCAAAAATTTAAGAGATAATGTCTAGGGCAAAAGAGGATATGAAGAAAGGGAAACTCACTCAAGGGGACTGTGAATTGTGTGACTTGCTGAAGTTTTTTGGAAAGCAATGGCTATCTTTACTAGAGCTTTAAAATGCACACATTTTTTGACCTACCATTTCCAATTTAAGAAATCTATCCTTTAAAAATACAAAACTCCAAAAGGGTATACGTAAAAAGTTTACCTTTATATGGTTTGTAATAACAAAACACTGACAACAACCTAAATGTTCATCTGTAAGGAAATTGTTAAATAAATTGATTTTAAATTTTTTCCCACTAGAATTAAGTTCCCCAAGAATAGGGATTTATAACAGTGATGATTACTGCTGTTTTCCCAGCACCTAGAACATAGTAAATATTCAAAAGAAATGATTGAATCGATAAAATTCTATTACATCTTTATTTACATAATGCAATGGACATTTTAAAAATTGATGTGATTTATGTGTAATGACCTGGGGAAATGCCCATGATATATTATTAAATGATACAAGCAAGTCACAAAGTAAAGTGTGACTTCATTTTTGTTTTTTTTTTTTTTAAAGGACAGAAAAGAAAGAACAAGATTATATGTAAAACATATTTGTGTAGGCACAGAAAAATTCTCGAAATGACGTCCAACAGAGTGTTAACATTGTTAACAGAGGGATGGAATTGAAAGGATGGAGGGGAAGTTACTTTTTTCTTTTCACATTTCTGCATTGTTTAACCTTCTTGGAAGGAATTGTTTGTGCAAGCCCTTAGCTCAAACCAAACTAGACTTTACTATGGGAAAGTCAGTAGGCTCGAATCCGCACACACATCAGGGAACAGTGAGCTTGATACTGTTACGTATTCTTTGTACAGCATTGGTTTGTTGCCTTTTTAAAAGTATCTGTTGAACACGGGTAAATTTTGCTCCTCGCCTCTCGGTAGTCGCTCGGCCTGTTCTTTCCAGCAGGTATTTCTCCTGCAGAACCTGCCGGCTGGCCCCCGCCCTTATCTCTGGACTGCTTTGGAACCAGCGCAGCTTCTGTGGGGCAGCTACTGTGTGCACGCTCGACCTTTGCCACCCTCCGCGCTGATGGGAACTGGAGGAGGATGTGGTTTAGACACAATGTGGCCCAAGCGTCCTTGTTTCCTGAATATACCCCAAAGTACAGTCCCATCTCCAGTTTTGAAAGAATTCCCCGAGAAACGGGGCTTGAGTGGAGCGGGTGGAGGTGAGAGGGGAAGATGAGGTGTTGGAGAAGCCCGGAGCATGGGGCCTCTATTAATATTAACTTTTATTAAGACTTGGCCTTTCTTTCCCCGGGGTTTCACAAAGCAGGAAGTCAAGGGCAGTGGAACAGGGAAGGGAATTGGCAGGAAGAGAAGACCTTGAGTAAATTATTTAGCTGTGACACGAGATTAAGAGTGATCCCACCCTCCTCCCTGCCCCACACACCCTAAAGTGGGCCCAGGTTGGGGAGCAGCGCTCCAGCCGCCACTAATCATGGAAGCCCAGAGGCGAAATCAGGTTCCCGGGGACCTGGAAAATTGCTGGAGTCTGGTGAGGGGCAAATCAGGAAGTGTCTTTATCGGAGATGAGATGGAACCCGGCTTTGGGGCGCAACCGGGCTCTGGGGGAGACTGCGTTTGCCCAGGTGGCGGGCCGCGCCTTCCGGTGGCTGCGAAGAGAAGGAGCGGAGGTTTCAAGAGCCACAGCGCCTCCGCGAGAGTGGAAAGGAGTAGAGTCGCTCGCGCCTGTTGTGCAAGACGACTCCCCGGGAGACCCACCCGCAGCCCCGCGCCCTTGGCCGGGAGGCCAGGAAAGGCACCGAGGCGGCCGAGAAGGTCCGCGGGGTACCACTCAGCCCCTCCTGCGGCGTCTCCGGCTGCTCCTGCTCAGCCTCCCGCTGCCCGCCCTGAGTCCCAGTTCTCAGATCGGCCGCAGAGCTGGGGACAGAGGCCGCGGGGTCCCGGACGCTTCGCCCGCTCAGCTGGAGCAGCAGCGCCCCCTGCCGGGGATCTCGCGCAGGCGAGACAGGCCAGACGCCGGAGGCCGCGGGCGGCGGCCCCTCTGAGGGGCGGAACACAACAGAGCTCCCTTTGCGCGTTCCGAAAATCAGATCCCTCGGGCCTGGTACCACCATCGCCGGCCCAGGTCGTCCAGCTACGACAGGTCGAAGGCCAGTGCTCCAGGCGTTCTTCGCGAGGTGGCTTTGGCGCTCGCGGCCCAGGTTCCCCTCACCTCCGCGCCGTAGTTAACGCGCGCCTTTTGAAAAGCACGGCGTCTTCAGGTATAAGGACAAAAACAACCGCGGACACCACACTGTTCGAAAGGGGAAAAATAAAGTGCCCGGAATCTCAGGGCGCGACTTCCGGGGCGACGGGCGGCGGCGGAGAGGCGCTCCCAGAGCTTCCCACCCGGCAGGAGGCCGCGGCGCCGGGACCTCGCCTGCCCCCACCGTGCGCCACCCCTCGGGAGACGCCGCAAATCTCTCCAGAGAGCCCCAGGCCGCCGCGGAGACCCAGCAAGGACGGGCAGCCGGCCGAGACCGGCCGCCTGGGGCAACAGCAGCGGGACACGAGCCCCCGGGCGCCCGCTGGGAGCACGGGGAGGCACTGGGCTCAGGGAAGCTGCGCTCCCAGTGGCCTTGGGGGAGGGTCAAGAAGCCCGGGCCCCGCGGCGGGCGGGAGTGGACGCGACTGGTCCGCGTAGGCCGCAGGGGTAGGGGCGGATCGCTGCTACCTGAGCTCCATCTGCTCTGATGGTTGGGGTAGATCCGCGGAGATGCCTGAATACCAGGCCCAGCGCTTCCCCAAGCTGTGTTGTAGACAACGGGCCCGTTTGGGCATGAACAAAGAAAAAGTTTCATCCATTTTTCTGTCTGAGACATTCAAAGACTCAAATCTAGACAATAGGTTCTCTGAGGTAGAAGTGTGGCGGGGGCGGGGCGGGTGGGAGTACACTAAAAGTTAGGGTGAGGAGCTTGCTTCTTGCCTATTTTGTCTGACTACAGATTTGCAAAAGGAGCACCCGGCTTTACTCAGTAATACCAAGCCCTCCTAGAAACTTACCCACTGAACAGCTTCACATGGCATGATCATTTGATGAATCGCTTTTTAGTTTCCCGTTCCGGACAAATATCCACCCAAGAGAACCAATCATAACACTGGGTGTATTAATACATGTCAAGACTCTCATTTCTCTGTAGACATGATAAGTAAATGTCAATTGTTGGTTTTCTGTAGACTTGTGATCACCCCCAAGAACTGTCATTTTCCAGTTACCAGAATCTGAATCATTGTCTAATGTGCTATGTGTATAACAATATATCACTAAGAGCGATCTGAAAGTGTAAAGATGTTTATGTAAAATTCATAGATATGATGAAAATAATAGGAATGAATGAAAATACAAGAATCTGGATTTCTAAAATATGCATTATTTTTAATAAAGTGGTCCAAGGGAAAAATAATGTTTTAATTTTTTATGTGTGGATTCCAGACAAGCAGTCTTTCTTTCTTTCTTTCTTTTTTTTTTTTTTTTTTTTTTTTTTTGAGACGGAGTCTCGCTCTGTCGCCCAGGCTGGAGTGCAGTGGCGCGATCTCAGCTCACTGCAAGCTCCGCCTCCCAGGTTCCCGCCATTCTCCTGCCTCAGCCTCCCGAGTAGCTGGGACTACAGGCGCCCACAACCGCGCCCGGCTAATTTTTTGTATTTTTAGTAGAGACGGGGTTTCACCGTGGTCTTGATCTCCTGACCTTGTGATCCGCCCGCCTCGGCCTCCGAAAGTGCTGGGATTACAGGTGTGAGCCACCGCGCCCGGCCAGTCTTTCTTTTTGTTCTTCCTGCACTCTTCTACATTTCTGTATTGTTACTAGACAGTGATCTCTGCTTCTGACTTATTTATGTCTTTTTTCTGTTTGTTTCTGGCAATGCACATAATAAGAAATATGCACATTGCTATTATTATTCACAACCACTGAGAAAAAAAAAAAGCGGCAACAAGTAGAAATAAAAGAGGTCTCAGCCACAGAATGGCAAGAAACGTTATATGTTTTTTAGGGCCACTCTTTGCACCTCATTTTAGAGATAGGTTGCTATTTATCAGCTTACTGACCTTGGGAAGACCCCAACCTCTGAGCTACCACTTCCTCATCTGTAACCTGGGGATCCAGTGAGGTAATGTAAGCCAATGTAGCATTGTACGCTTATGACTAGACCCCAGTCATGACATGAGTTGCTTCTGTCTAGAAAATAGAGGGCTGGCAGGGCGCCTTGGCTCACGCCTGTAATCTCAGCACTTTGGGAGGCTGAGGCAGGCAGATCACAAGGTCAGGAGTTCAAGACCAGCCTGGCCAACACGGTGAAACCCTGACTCTATTAAAAATACAAAAATTAGCTGTGTGTGGTGGCGCAAGCCTGTAATCTCAGCTACTCGGGAGGCTAAGCCAAGAGAATCACTTGAACCTGGGAGGCAGAGATTGCAGTGAGCCAAGATGGCACCACTGCACTCCAGCCTGGCAACAGAGCGAGACTCCTTCTCAAAAAAAAAAAAAAAAAGAGCAAGAAAAAAAGAAAAGAAAAGAGAGGGCCGGGTAAAGTGAAGACTGAAAACAGAATCTTGTTCTGTTAAGTTTTGCTGTAGCTGTTGTTTTTTAAATATTAGCTACACAGAATGAAAGAAAAATACCCAAAGTGTATTTCGTGAGTAGGAAACAGAGGCTGCCCTGGTCATTTTTAACAACTCCTAATCTGTGGTTTAGGTATATAATCCTTGTTCTTGACTCTACTAATTATCAATAAGTTAAAATTATTTAAGTGCCACATAACAAGCCATCATAAGTCTGTACTACAATGACTTTAGCTCTGCATTGTTCTTCCTTGTTTGCTTCCCTGAGGTTGGAGAGGAACTTATCAACTACCACTTGCATAAAACCTATTATCATCATACTACAGATACTAAGTGTGATGATAGCAGACTGTTAATCCTGAAAGTTCTGAGATAACACATGAGCAATTACGAAAAAATTCCTTTTTAGTTTTGAAGTTAAAACTCAAATATGAAAGTGCATGAACTGCCTGGGGTTTTTACTTACCAATAAAATATTGGACACATAAACCCAGTACATGATATAAATATTATTTTTAAGTAATTGTGTGGGTGAAGGGATGGTTTGGCAATCATTTCATCTCAGGGAAGTCTTTTTCATGGATCAAAACTGGTTGTGTTGTGGTTTATGGATTAGATCTCTAGAACAGAATCACCAGGATCCTGCTTTACTGGTCATTTAACTTTGGGGCTCTGGCAACCTGGTTGATATTATCTATATCTGCTGTGGTTAATGACAAATTCCAATTGGGAAAAGCTGTTGTTAAAACAAATGTAATGTTTGGGCACTAGAGATGCAGGAGCCAAAAGGTCACCTAAGTGCTGCCCCCACCTTCTCTGGACTGATTCCTCCAAGAAGAATGTCAAGGTAAATGTTGGTATAATCTCTGGAACTCACAGAGTCTACTTTCTTTATTTGGAATTTGAGAGTTTTTTTTTTTTCTAAATCTAATATCATAACCTTCTAGAAAGTCATGATATTTTTTATATATATATATGCCTATATGTATAAATATGTATAAAATATCTCTATCTTTATTTATATGTATGTATTCCTCTGATTTGTAGCTAAAGAAAGAAGACAGTAGGTGATTCTTTTGGCCCAGTATCACACAGCTAGCCCCACAGCCATCTCTAAAACCTGCTTGGTTTGTTAAAATCATAGTGCACCCACTCCAAGAAGAGCAGGAGGCAAAAGGAAAAAGGCAAAGGAAAATTGACTGAATGTAGGAGTTCTGGGGTTGAAAATTTGTGCCGTCTAAGTGTGATTAAGAAGATAAGTTAAATGTTTATTTTAAATATTTACAAATTAATCTACATTACTCAGATATGAATGTTTTTGTTATACTCTGAAACAAAACCAAGTTAATGCAAGATCTGCTGCTGTAATTTTACTGTAAGGGAGAATTCTGGAGATAAGAGTAAAACACTTTTCTTAAAACAACATCTAAGGATGAATCAGCCTTAGAGAATTTAAACCTCAGCACCCTCCTGGGTGGTTCCTGAAAAGCGCAGAATTAATATTGAGGTGTTGGGGTAGAAATTGTCTCAAAATAAAGAAACTTTTAATGCCATCTAGTTAGAGTATCTGCCTGTCTGCTCCTTTTGGGTTAAGAGTGTGCAGATGGCCGGGCGCAGTGGCTCACGCCTGTAATCCCAGAACTTTGGAAGGCCGGATCACCTGAGGTCAGAAGTTCAAGACCAGCCTGGTTAACATGGTGAAACTCCGTCTCTACTAAATACACAAATATATATATATATATATTAGCTGGGCATGGTGGCAGTCACCTGTAATCCCAGCTACTCAGAAGGCTGAGGCAGGAGAATCACTTGAACCTGGGAGGCAGAGGTTGCAATGAGCCGAGATTGAGCCATTGCGCTCCAGCCTGGGCAACAAGAGTGAAATTTCGTCTCAAAAAAAAAAAAAAAAAAAAAGTGTACTAATAAGAAGGTTCTCAACTACATCCTCAACTAATCTTGATTCTCCTAAGTACAGCTAGAAACTAGATGTTCTAGCTGGGAACATGTCTTCTAGTAAATAAAAGGGCAAGTAAGCTATACAGACCAGCAACTTGTCGCCACATCTGGAATACTGCTTAGTGCCTTGCCACTCAAGATTTTATGCAGATACTTAGAAAGTGGCGATCAAGAAACAACATACTTCAGGCAATTTTGACAAAGTAAGCAAAGCTAAATGCATTAGAAAAAAAATTCTGGGAAAGGGTTATTCTATCATAATTTGAGAAATTATCTTGCTCAAAATTATCTTGCTCAAAAGCTCTCCAGCACTTTGCAGAATACAGTACAAGAAGCAGCTCATATTGTGACTAGGGTCTAGTTATAAGCATACAATGCTACCCTGGCTTACATTAATTACCTCATTGGATCCCCATGTTACAGATAAGGAAGTGGTAGCTCAGAGGTTGGGGCCTTCCCAAGGTCAGTAAGCTAGTAAATAGCAACCTGTCTCTAAAACGAGGTGCAAAGAGTGGCCCTAAAAATATATATAACTTTTTGACCAAAAATTAGCTGGGCATGGTGGCCTGCGCCTGGAGCTGAGGCAGGAGGTGGAGGTCACTGAGCTGAGATCACTCCACTGCACTCCAGCTTGGGCGACTGAGTGAAACTCCATCTCAGAAAATAACTAACTAACTAAGTAAATAAATAAACAAATAAAATAACTTTCCTTGCCATTCTGTGGCTGAGACTTCTTTCATTTCTACTTGTTGCTTCTTTTTTTTTTTCTGAGTAGTTGTGAATAACAACAGCAAGAATATTGCTATGTGCATATTTAGATTGTTATTTAATATTAGTTTTCTTCACTGATGTAGACCCCTTTCTGCATATTATTAGAAAGAAGTGAAACACATTGCAATGAAATATTCGTTGCTTTCATTAGCAGTCCATCGTGTTAACTTTATTGGATGAATATGACAAAGCTACGAATTGTTCACGGCGGGGAGTCGGGTGGGGTGGAGACTCAGGCTGTTTATTCTCCATAAATACTTTTTTGTTTGTTTGTTTGTTTTTGAGGCGGAGTCTCTGTCGCCCCGGCTGGAGTGCAGTGGCTTGGATCTTGGCTCACTGCAACCTCCAAGACTCCGGGGTTCAAGTGATTCTCCTGCCTCAGCCTCCTGAGTAGCTGGGATTACCGGAGCGCGCCACGATGCCCGGCTAATTTTTGTATTTTTAGCAGAGACGGATTTTCGCCATGTTGGCCAGGCTGGTTTCGAACTCCTGACCTCAAGTGATTCACCCGCCTCTGTCTCTCAAAGTGCTGAGAGTACAGGCGTGAGCCACCGCGCCCGGCCAATAGAAAACTTTTTTTGACCTCAGTTCCACAATACTGATAGGTTTTATTCCCATAGTTATCCTAAATTTCCGGTCTTACCATATATTAATACTGTGTCCACATTACTGTAAGTTTAGGAAGAAAACATCTTGTGCAAAATAACCCTTTTAGAAAGGTATAGCCCCTCTCTGCCAATTTTGTTTTTCTTAAACATTCAACAAATCCAAGAATCTCCCCTGCCTGACTTAGTTTGAACTTAGTTTCAACAGGCCCACGGCCAACGTAGAAAAATCTTGCAGCGCCCGGGTTTGGGCTCAGCCAGAGTTGGGAGAGGCGCGTGCCCCTCCCAGCTGGGTGAAAACTGGAACCTTTCCGGGTCCACGAGCCCAAGCCCCATCTCTTCCCAGAGCGCGCGCGCCCTCTGGCGCCTGAGCCGACTACTGGACGCGGTGGAGGCGTGGGATTCGGAGGCCCGCACCCCCAGCTCTGCGCTGGAGGCTCCAGGATCCGCGAGGTCATCTGGTCTCAAATAACCTCAGGCGCCCCTGTGCAGGCCTCCCTAAACTCCTTGAGCTGCGCTGCCACTCGTGCCACATCCCTCGTTCCGTAGGTATTGCTCCCGGAGTGACACAGTTGGCGTTAGAAGCGCGGTGGCCTCACTTGCCAGAGAGGGTCCTGGTTTTGCACCTTTTTCCGTGGCGCAGGAGGCTTGCCAGGCGCTCGCAGCAGCGAGCCGGGTGCTTGCATCTCAGAGAGCAGCCGAGCTCCTTTCCCTGGCCCCGTACCCGCGTACAAGGGGACCTAGCCCCGGGAAGGGGAAGAACTTGTAATCGCTTGCAGCGGGACAAGGTCGACTTTTGAACCTCTAACCACTAAGCAAACAACCCATGTGCTCTTGCTCCACTGTCCAAACAGGGTTTATTGACAGGCGTTTCACGGCAACGCATAGCAACCGCAGTGGCTAGGGGGCGGGTGTGTGGGCGCGGCCGGGGCGCGGGGAGACCTGCGGGGCACCGGGGCTCAGACCGGCCCTGACCCGGGACCCCTCGCCCAGCGGACCTGGACAAGGCTTCCTCCTCTGCCCGGCACCCCCCAACCCCGCGCCCCACACTCCTGCCTCTGGTTTCGAAGCCAGGCGCCCGCGGGCCAGGCCACCGGAGCCCCTTTCCCAATCCTGGAGCTGTATACGCCACCCGGAAGCGCTGCGGAATTGGAGAGGTGCTGCAGAGGGTCTGTACCTCTTGCTGTCTCCCGGCTCTGCTCATCCTCCCCAACTGCCCTTAAGGCGCCTCCGTGGGCGCGCTGATTAGGCTCTCGGATGTTGGTGGGAAGATCGAAACGAAGGGCTAAGCGCCCCTCGCCCAGGTCCTGCCCGGAACGCTGAGCTCGGTGGCCTCCAGGATCAAAAATCTCAAAGACTGCACCCCGGTGCCCAGTGGATCGGCCAACTGACAAGCAACTGTCACTAAAAGGATCATTTTCTATTGGGTCTTGCAATCTTGTTTGTGGGGTGATTGGGTGGGAAGTGGGGCGCGGTCCGGGATAAGGAAACTGCGAGGACAGAAGAAAGTGGAGGTAGAAAGGGCTCACAGAAATGCCCAGTGATTTACAGAAGACTAAATTCATGGAAGTGCTGTCTTGGGAAAGTAGGGGGATTTTTTAAAAAAAATTTAATGCTCACGTTTAACTAGCTGGGTTGTGGGGTGTCCTTAGGAGGGAGTCACTGCAGAAGGGAACTGCCTGCTGTTTGCAAAAAGCCTCCATGTGGATTTGGTGAGATGCTATGACGGGGGCCCTCTCACCCCCACCCCCCATAATTTCTGGCTGCTGGGAAGCAGCTGGCCATTCAGATGTGCATTTTGCCCAAAGGCACCCCCAGGAGAGCCATGCATTCCTAGGCTGGGCTCAGGCTTGGGGGCAGGGAAGGTCTCAGAACCTGCTCCTTCAGGCTTCTGATGCTCTGGGGTAAAATGAGCCTGTCCTGATAATCTCCACTCCCTCTCTGAATTTTCCAAATCAGCTCGCAAGCAAAGAAGATATTTCATTTCTTTAAAAAATAGTTGCAGACAAAATCTGAAGATAAATACAGAATCTGAAATCTGGAAAGCTCATTTATCTCTTTTTCTTTTTAGAAAAAATTCAACTGTGTTCAAATACTCCCCACTTCCCTTCACCATATCACTTCTTCCCCCCTGGATCCAGAAGGCTTTGAAAACTCTGGCTTGGATGTTACACAGACCAACAACCCAAACAGCAGCAACAACAACACAAACCCCCCAACCCCCTTCTTCATCAGCCCCAAGATTGCGAAAATGACAGGAAGTCCAGGCTGGCTCTGGCATTTATAGCACTGACATACATTCAGCCCAGAGAAGCTCTGGTGACAGGTTCTCTAAACAAGTCCCTGTTTGGGCCCCCTGGTCAGGCCTGGAGTCCAATAACCACCCCTCATACCACACCCTGTGCATACACCAGCCAAGCCTTTCCTGGTCTGGGAAGGGAAGAGAAAAAAGACACAGGCCACCTGGGGGTTCTGCAGTCCTTGGTCAGTCCAACTTTCTATCTTAGCTGCCTTTTTGGCTTCTGCAGTGTAAACCTTGCCTGCCCGGAGGCAGGAGGCCCAGCTGGACCTCCGAGGGCCATGAGCAGGCTGGTCTCAAGCTTGCTGTTCCCCTAAGTCCCTCTCTCCCCTCAGCTCTAGCCAGAGGTGCAGCCTGCAGATCTAGGATGAGAAGAGCTGGGGAGGAGGCTGAAGGCCTCGTTGGTGTGGTCAGTCCAGGCAATGCTTCTGCCAGTCCTGAATGAAGCCCAGTGGTGGCTCTCTGTCTCCTCAGTGGCAGAGAGAGCCGGCCGGGAAAAAGTAAAAAATCTGGGAGAGTATATTTCTTGAGGCCCCAAATCCCACTTGTCTTACTCCCGGCTCCCATTTTTCCTCTGAGAGCTAGGTTTGTAGGTCTACAGCTGTGGGTGGGAGGGGAGGGGTCTCTCCTGAGGAGTTTTGCGGAGTCCACGCTCCTCATGGCTCAGCCTGGAATTGCTCTGCTGCTGCAGACTCCTGTGGGTCACTGGGTGACAGTGGGGTTTAGCACCCCCCCAGTTGGCCCCAGAACCCCAGGGACAGAGCCAGGCACTGAGGCTTGCAGGGAAGACACCGGACTCAAGGGCTCCTGGACACTTCTCAGAGGACCTGGCTGAGGCTGGGGAGGCTGTGGTGGCGGCGGAGGCGGCTGCGGCGGCTGCTGCTGCTGTTGCTGCTGCAACTTCTTCTTGTTGATTTTCCTTTCCTTTGCTCTGCGGTTCTGAAACCAAATTTTAACCTAGAAATGGAAAGGTGGAGAAAAGCACATGGTGGTGAAGATGCCAGGGAAAAGAGGAATAGTACCCAGCAGTATCATCAACATCTTCCGCTCCAACTACAGAACTCCAAGTCCTTCTAGAAGCTTTCTTTGGGCGTCCCCATAACAGCCCAGCCCTGGATCCGTTCTCAGGTCCAATTCAGCCTCATGGGGAAGAGTCTTCCTCCTTCCTTGCTCCCTGGGTTTGCTTTCAAAGCAACTTTTATCTACGCATTTACTGGACAAGTGTAAAGTCTCAGAACCAAGGAAAACAGAAACTGCAAGGCCCTGTCTACACAGCAAAGGGAGGCCAGTGCTGGGTGGTGTACTTCAAATGGCAACCTTTGACCCCTCAAGGCTAAACTAAAATGTAATTTTCCTCACCTTAGAGCTGAAAATGAGATTTAATTGTGTGGCTTCCTGGCTGTGAAGTTGGCCTGTTTTTCTAGACGATATAAATAAAATGTTCATGAACCAAGTCTTGTCCCTCTAGTTTTTATGAGAGACTGAGTATTTTATTTAGTTTATTTTCTTAGGTACAGTGCTAGAAACAAAGAGAATAGGTCTTTAATATGTCTTTATAGACCCAAATGGAATTCTGGATTAAACTAACACCCCTGGCTTTTTTTCACACTTTCTATATCCCTCAAAAGAGAGAAAGAAAAAAATCAACAACATCAAAAAAAGAGGACTAAAGGTAGAAGGGGACCTTTAAAAAAGTACTCCAGGGCTAGGCACAGTGGCTCACACCTGTAATCTCAGCACGTTGGGAGGCTGAGGCAGGTGGATTGCCTGAGGCCGGGAATTGGAGACTAGCCTGACCAACATGGAGAAACCCCATCTCTACTAAAAATACAAAATTAGCCGGGTGTGGTGGTGCATGCCTGTAGTCCCAGCTACTTGGGAGGCTGAGGCAGGAGAATTGCTTGAACCTGGGAGACAGAGGTTGCAGTGAGCCGAGATCACGCCATTGCACTTCAGCCTGGGCAACAAGAGCAAAACTACATCTTGGGGGGAAAAAAAAAGTACTCCAGGCCAGGCATGGTGGTTCACACCTGTAATCTCAGTACTTTAGGAGGTCAAGACAGGAGGATCACTTGGAGTTTGAGACCAACCTGGGTAAGACGGTGAGACCATCTCTGTAAAAAATTTAAACATTAGCCAGTCATGGTGGCTGGAGCCTGTAGTCCAAGCTAGTTAGGTGACTGAGGCAGGAGGATCCCTTCAGCTCAGGAAGTCAGGGCTACAGTCAGCTATGATTGTACCACTACACTCCAGTCTGGGCCACAAAGCAAGACCCCATCTCTATTTAAAAAAAAAAAAAAAGTGCTCCAAAGACGAATGCTTGCATCCTCCTGCTTCAGTCTCTCCACAGATTTAGATGGCCCCTGCAGCCAGATTTTCTAACTCTCATGGTCCTCTCCCAGGCAGTGGCCCGCCCGGAGGGAGCTAGGCGGTCCCCACCTGCCTCTCAGAGAGCCCCAGCGTGGCGGCCAGCTCGGCTTTCCTCCGGATGGTGATGTAGCGGCTGTAGTGAAACTCCTTCTCCAGCTCCAGCCGCTGGTGGTCCGTGTACACCACTCGGTATTTGTCTTTCGTCCTGGTTTTCACTGTGGAGGAAGGAGAAGTGAGGGCTGAGAACTGCAAGGCAGCCCATCAGTCATGGGTAATGACAAACCTCCCTAACCCAGGGACATTTCTCTTCCTCCACCACCCCAGGGGGCCCGGGTTTGGCTGGTTCCTGCCAAGTCTGACAAGACCCCCCAGAGGGTCCTGTGGGGGGAGGGTGTGAGGCTAGTGGAGGCAACTAAACTAACCTTAGTATTAAGTGGTTTTTAAAAATTAAGAAAAGTGGAAACCTAATTCACACAGAAGATAACAGAATGTAACCACCCTTTCAGTAAACCAAATACAGTACTGGCATATATTTGACACCAACGGAAAGGGGGCAGGGTGAAGTGGCCAGGATCCTGGAAACATCTAGATTTCCAGGTCTAACAGAGATGGAAGCCCACTCCGAAAACAGCTGTCATTGTGGGCACATGTTGGAGAGGAGGTGTGGGGGTTACTACTTTGCTTTACTACAAGTGGAAAGCAGGGTACAGGAGCTGACAAGTCGCCAGAATCATCCCCCAGACACACCAGGCCCATCTGGTGGAATTCTGAGCTGGGCTCTGGCAGAGGGAACAGGCAGCAAACCCCTCGGGCTAGGGACACTTTATACCTGCCCAATCCAGGTTTGGCGTTTGGTACTTTTTCTTTTTTGACCCTCCATTTATTCCTGCTGCAAACCTGGCCAGAGTTATCCTGACCAGTGATCTATGCTCATTGGATTGAGTCAACATATTAAATCCTAGATTGATTGTTTTACTGAAGGGCCTTGACAAATAGTGTCCACAATGTTGGAGCAGGCCCGAGCCTGGCGTCTCCACCAGGTCTGTCTTGGCTCAGCCCTTGGCAGAGCCCTGGCCAGAAGCTGTTCTCTCTGGCTCCGTCCCACTTTTGGGTCTTCTTGCAGCTGAACAGGTTCAATCTCCCAGTGCCCAGTCCCACAGAAAGATCTGAAGGGCCTGGGAGTTGCCTGGAGGTGTTTAATGTCCCGCAGGCTGACTTTGTTCGGGTAAAACTCTTTGCAAACCACAACAAAAGCGTCCTGGGAAGATACAGGCCTGATCAGAGGGAGCTCCCCGGAGCCGCTGAAAGGGGAACACAGCCGCAAACAATGCAGGACAAGGCGATCTTATCAAAGAAAAGCCCTTTCAATGCCTTAATAACAACCACATTCTGTTTGAATTACCACTACTGAGCAAATGGCGGCCCCGGCTTTCATCCCCCTCCCCACCAGGCGTATTAACATAAACACTGCCCTGCAGGCGCATTTGAATGGCCCGACCCCGCGCCTGCTATGAAAGTAAGGGGAACTAACGCGACTTTCTCCGCGGTGGACGCTCGGACACGCGTGACCGCCTCAAACCCACTCCAGGCCATTGGTACTCGCCCCTTTTTACAGATGAGGAAATGGAGAATCAGACCAGGTCACGCAGACAGCATCAGGCGGGGTTGGCACCGGAGCCTGACTGGAGCCACAGAGGACACCCCCGGAGCTGGGGCTCAGGGCAGTTCCCTCAGCCGAACACCCCAGGAGGGAGACTCGCCTGGAAGTACCTTGGAGCGACCCTTGCTCGGGTGCTGCCCCTTCAGTGTCCCAGACGGGCTGGGCAACGCGATGACCAGACCCTGTGCGCTCTTCGGCCCGCGCCCCACACCCCCTGGGAACCTAGGAGCGGGGCTGTAGAGGGGTGGGATGAGAGGGACTTGTC